CCATCAGGTAAAACAGAACATACCATTAGTGACTACTGGACACCACCAGGAACCAACAGAAACATTTAATGGTTTCTTTGGGTTTTTTTCCAGCAGGGACCTCATTGTCTGTTGGTGGTATTATGTGATTAAACTTTGCATTTTTTGTGTTGTTTTGTACAGTGTCTAATGTTGTAAATGACCAGGTCACTGTTCCTATGTAAGCTAACCAACATGACAACGTTTAATTACTTCAGTGTTTAAGCAGTAATATTGAGGCTGAAGTTACACTTTAAATACAGTTTAACAGTTAATCATTTACATGGTTAATAGTGATGACACATTATGTGTCAAGAAAATTGCCCATCTTTTCATTCAAGTCAGCTTCCATGATGCACTTTGGACTCACATCATCTACAATCATTTAAAAAGTTATTCAAATATGTAGAATATTTACTGTGTTCCAGTATCCCACAGTAACAATCTAAATCTGCTTTCCAACACCAACATCGAAATATAAAACTGGTGAACATGTTGTGCTCTTCAGCACACTCAGTGCCATATTCTCCATATTCTTGTACATTTCCTCATCTTCACGTAGTAACAGATTAATCAGAGACTTGCTAATTAGAGTGGGCTTCTTTGGTTATGCAACAAAACGCCAGAACCAGCCTTGTCAAGTGTTAAAGCACGGAGAGCTGGCCATGACGCCGTTCATTAAAACACTGTGTCCTATCGCGCTTCGAAATGCTTTGCCAGCTTTTTGGCCGTGCTGTTGCACTCTCCTCACCAACCACATTGGAACAGGTCTCGGCAGCTGTGAAATTGCCTCACACCGGCGAGCAAAGCGGCTTTATCGCCCACTGAGCAGCACTAACCTGCAGATAAGGCTGGAGAGTGTGAGAGAGAAAGAGCGAGAGAGACAGAGACAGAGACAGTGAGTGAGAGAGAGAGAGAGAGATGGACGCGGCATGCTATCTGTCTCGCGTTTTAGTGTCGTGTCACGCTCCTGCAGCAGCGCCGATAAGAGAGGAAGCGAAGGGAGATGAGCTAAAGGCTGGGGAGAAGGGGGTTTAGACCAGTGTTGAACTTACCTGAGCGTCACACGTTCACCAAATGTCACGGAAAACACACAAATTCAATTTCCGTTTCCGTCCATATCCGTTTGAGGCCAATTCAGGGTGCTGTTTTTGTTCCCATCACAAAGCTGGCTCTTGTTGTAAGGCGATTTTTCCTGACTGCATTTTCTGGATCTTTGAGGGAGGAGCACTAGCTGTCCAGCATATTACAGTTTAACTCGGGAAACATCTGTGCGGACTGGCAAGTGGACATTTTAGAGCTGTGCTCATTTAATTACCCTCTGTCGCCACATGATGCTCACTCTCCCGTGCCATCAGTTTGAAAAAGAAGTGTCTTGGGCCCCGTAGCCTAAAACTGATATTAGGCCTACTGTTCCCGAGGCACCGAAAATAATAAGACTATAGCAGTATTGCCGAATATATTGTTTTGTTAATAGTTATTGCAATATTGGACTTTGCAGTATTGACATTGCAGAAGGCTGCAATATGCAGATGAGCAATAAATCACATTTAGTTTTTGTTTTTCTGCTGTGAGCATCCTAATCTCAGGTGTTCCAGAAGAGTTTATATGGGTGTTTTGATTAATCCATCAATCATTCCAGTGATCCAACAAATTTTGGCCAAAATGCAGGCCAGTAAGTGTTTAATTATGTCACAGCAGAGGCTCTCTGGTGCACTTTTGATAATGAGCAAGCATATCACACTCTATACACACAATATGCAGCAATATAATCACAATATCGTACTTACTCCATATTGTGCTGTCTTTAGTATAAAGGCCACTACACCTAGAGCCCAGCCCAACAGCATTGCGCAGCATCATGCTCCTCTACGTTGCTACACTACAAAGTTCTTACTGTAGGTTCCCGAAAGTCTCTCATTATGAGTAGCCTCACGTCCTCAACGTCTCGCCCGTTCTTGGTGTGGAGTTCTGGATGCAAACATTAGACATGAAAACCTCTGCTTCAGAGTTTTCAGAGTTCTCCAAAACGTTAGAACCAAGTTAGCTTATCAAGTGATAACTTTAGCCCTCCATGGACCACATACTGAAATAAGCTCAACAAGAAATCAACCAATTTCTTTTTTAGTTCAACTAGATCCACAAAATAGTGTTGTAAGTTTGTTTGTGTTACACAACTTTTTTTGATCTTTGGCATAGGAAAATGTAATCTGTACATGACAATAAAACATAACGGGTAACATTATTTATCAAAGCAAGACTGTAAAGAGCTTGTGTCTTGCACAGAAATGAAAATGGAAACCTTACATTTTTTTTTCTTAAATTAACAAAATTATATTTTAAAATCATTAATTATTGGATTACTGTTTATCCTTATCATTTATAAATGACAGCGGCTCATTGAGAGTTTGACGATTGCAGTTATTACTGTCATTTTGCAATTGTATTTGAACAGAATTGCATAATTACTATACAGTTAGCAGGTAATTCAATTAATAACATTTACATCCTATTTACATTTGGCATTAACTTTTTCTGCTTGTTGTGCTGTGAAGAAATGGCAAAACACTGTAAAAATGATTTTGAATCAAATTCAAATCATAATAAATTTCTCCTCTTCTACTAACAAACATAAATGTTGACTGAAAGTTTAGAATCTACACTTCCAGCAGAAATCATCTGCTTGTTTTAATGAACTATGGGTAAGACAATTAAAATAAAATCACATGTTTTGTTGCAGGTGGTGATAACTGCAACTTCTGATCAGGCCTGTCACAATCGTATTATTTCAGGTTTTTTTTGCCATAAATAATTCCCATAATAATTAACAGTCAAGCTTCAAGTAGTCAAATTGGCTGATCAGCTATCTTTCTTCCTATATGTTGATACTGAAGACAGACACAGCTCAAGGTAAGGTAAACAAACATTACTTACCACAGTCCTCTAAAGGTACTATAACATCAATGAGAACTTTCATTATGACACATCTCAATGAGTACGTTTTCCGTTTCCTTTTATTTACATGCATTTGCCTTAGTCCAACTGATAAAACACAACAAATACATCTATTGCAACATGAACATGTTACAAAGCTAACAACTGATGAAAATAATAGAGGACAGCTTAAATATCTGCAATTGGCTTAAATAACTGTAACCAGGAGATTATGTAATAACTGTGACAGACATCCTTCTAATGGTTAAAAGACTTTGGAGTTACAAGAAGGTCAAATGTACAGAAATGTCAAAAGGGTACTAATCTATATATGACACAAAAAGGTCTGAGTGTAAAAACCATGTGAAATTATGTCCCAATTTGGGTCTGTTGTTGCTGTCAAGGGTTGGACAGAATGTTCGAATAGAATTCATTTTAACACACACACACACACACATACATAAGGAGTTACTTAAAAGGTTCAAAATAGCCCTGAGCCGGAGCACTGCTGTATCTAGGCAACAGTAGAATGGGGGGTTCCAGAGGTGTTTCAACATGAGTGCCACACTACACTCTAACCTTGATCAGTTCAGCGACAGCGAACATTAGGTAGACAAACCCATCAATTAATTATCCCACTGGTGCAGTGGCTCATGAGTAGAGTTTCCTAAACAAACAACCACCCAACACGAAGCATGTTTCATATGCAAATAAAGGATTTACATATTACATAATGTTATTTGTCCTTCTCCTTTCATTGTCTTGCTTTCGCCTTGCAATGTGGTGGAGGGCTTGCCAATCACTGCAGCAGGCATGTATGGAATAGGATCAAGAAATCTCAGAAAGGAGATTTGAGGAATGCAGTGCCTTTCCAACAGCGAATCACAAATCAAGGTGCCTCTCTAAGCTTCAGACTGTAAATCCCTCAGTGCACTGAATGTAGTGAACACAATGAATTGGTAAAACTTCACAAATGAACATCTCGCTGTTTAACAGTTACATTTCTTACTTACATTTAGTTGTATTGTTTAATTTTCAATCATTATTTTAAATAAAACACTACCCCTAATGGATGGAAATTGAGCTACATGTAAAAAAATGTTCGCTTTAAAAGCGCAATAAGCTTTTTACATTTTCTTAATGTGTTCTAATGTTCAATGTTGGTGATACATCATTTTATACATTACACCATAATGATATTTAATAATGTGGGGAAGATTGTTCCATAATAAGATTTCATATTTAATTCAAACTTGCTACTTTTTTACTGATACACCTTTGAATTAAATTGAATTAAATGGATTTCTTCATAAACCTCACCAATTGACTTTACTCAACATGGAAAACAATTGCTTCGCTCCTTCTTGTCACCATTTTAGATTTAGTTGTAGTAATAAATACATCCTTTACAGGTCAATTAAGTTATGGCAAGTTGAGTGAGTAAAGGCAGCGATCTTCCATAAGCCATGTGACTAAATGCAATTACTGGCCTTTACACGCTGGTATCTCATGGTTCCCAATGAGCTGAAACTGAGCTTACTGCACTGGAGGCACTGGAAACGTCAGACTATAGCATAAAGGCCATTACACTCAGAGCCAAGCCCAACAGCACTGCTGAGCATCACATTCCTCCTCGCATATCAACATAACAAAGCTCTCACAGCAGGCTCCAGAAAGCTCCTCATTAAAAATTTGTATAGGATAAATACTGCAAGTCTGAAAAGTTCATAAAACACTCCTTGATCATACCAGCAAAAGAAACTAGCATAGAAACTGTCACATCACCCTAGAATTTGTTTTACTTTCTTGGGCAGGTATAATGATGTGCATTATTCTTGGCCCTGCATAAGATAGCAGTTATGCTATGCTGATATATACCAACTCTATAGAGCAACAAAGAGTAGGGGTCTTTGGAGCAATGCCCTAAAAGAACCATACTTAATTCCCTAAATAACCTTTAAACAAATGGTTCTTCAAAGAATTATTTCTGCAAATTAATATTTTTGAAGTATAAAGAACCTCATGTTGTCTGAGAGGAAACAGGCTACCTGAATCAGAGCTGTACATGTAGACAAACTTGGTCCACTTGTAGTGCTCCACAAGGGCAATCAGGGCATCCTGGAGCTCAGGCCTCAGCTGGATCACAAACTGGTTGTTGGTGTCGATGGGGAAGCTGGGCGTGACAAAGCAGACATGCAGAGCCCCGCAGAATGACATCAGCATGTTCATGGTCTTCCTGTCGTACAGACCAATGATGGCATAGACTCCTTTAGAGAACTGGGAGCAAACTGTGAAAAAGAGCAACAGAAAGTTAGGAAGCCCTGTCCTGGCCATGGTTTAGATACATCATTTGACACCAATTACACATGTTGAAAAAGCAAAAAGTACTTTACTTGAACCCTGCTACATAACATTGTCATAACCATGCCATAAACATGTCATGGCAGATGTCATGATGGTGTATGATAATTTTTACTATGTGCACTCTAGTTATCACATCAATCATTATGCCATCTCTCATGAGAATAGCCAGTAATGGTAACATGTGACTATAATATTACTGAACATAATCTATCATGACAACTCATCACTGCATATGACATGTTTATGGCTTGGTTCTGTCCGTTTTCAATTAAAGTTTTGCTGAAATAAGTTATGGACATTCTATCATTATTTAGCTATTAATCTAAAGGCTTATTATTCAGTATTCAGTATCCGATCCTATGAATTATTCAGTAACTACTATTAAAGTTATATGTTAGGTATGTAGTTATAAGAGTCAGGAACAGAAGCTAGTTTTCATATCCAGGGACATGCAAAGCCCTTTACAGACAAGAATATTTCAAACACAACTCAGTCATCCTGCTCTAATGAATCATGTAACAGCTCCTGAAAGCTAGGCTGGTCAGAGCCAATCATTTCCACAGTACTCCATTCTGATTTTAGTCTAAGGGCTTCCAGACATTAGTGTAGCTGTCAGGGGCAACTCCATCACCAAAACATTCACTTCTTAACAGTTTTACCTTATAGAGAAATTATGAAGGAGTGCTCTAGAATTCAAAGCTTCAGAAAATATCTTTATATATCTTAGTTCTATACAGTTGTATTACACCTTATCTTGATTGAATGAGGGTGCCATATTTGTCATTAACAAGTCTTTAACACCGATTATAGAGGTGTTAAAGTGAGGGACTGGCTAGCTATAATTATAGCTCTTTATTAATCAGTAGCCTATATGTTTAATGATTATGTGATTATTCATATGATTTATGATATAAGCATATGAGATGTGAACTGTTTTTGGTCTGAAAGAAAATTCTTTGCCTCTTTCTGCTCCATATGAGCATTGCTTATCTGCATGTCCATAGGCCTTAAGGTGCCTTCACTCTGACATCAATGTCATGTAAGTTCAAAAGATGTTTTAGAGGACACATCTTCTGTCACAGTATGGGGCTGATAAAAGCAAAATTTTAGGTACACTACTGTGCAAAAGTCAGTGAGTTTTTGCCAGAAAAAGCAAAAAACATATGTTTAACAAAAGCCTTGACAACTATAAACAGAATTTCAAATTTTTCGGTATTTATTTGTCTACTCTTTGCCTTTATTACAGCATCTATTCTTTTCAGGAGACTTGCTTTTAGTTTTTTAAAGAAATCTGCAGGGATATTTTTCCACTCCTCCAAAGTTCAGTCTTAAGAATTTGGTTGCATGTTCTACTTCTTATGATCTAAATGACGGGCTGTGAGGTAGTCAGTCGATTGTTCTGAGAACACCAGCAGTTTCTTTTTCTTTCAGGGACGCAAGAAGGTGTTTTAAGTAGGGGGTGCTGAAATTTTAAACAGCGTATTTGTGACATGACTGAGGATGTTGTGCACGATGATTTGCCTTTTTTTCATTTGATTTTTTTCTTGTTATTTTACATTAAACAGAACATGTCATACAGTGCTATAATGAAGCTAGAGACAACAATATATACATATAACTGACACATCAATCAGCTGATGCACATTGTCTCTTTGCTATCTCGTTCTGGACGAACTGCAAATGAGTTGAGCGGCGACCACTCACATTGTTGATATGTGGCCAATTGTTTCAGCCACAGTCAAACACTGAGATTCAACATTGGAACTCCATCAAGTGGGGGACATTGATTAAACATTTTTAATCTAATACAATTAATCTAATCTAAATCTTATTACTGTATTATTATGGTATTTTTAAGGCAAAACAGCAATATTAGGCTGCTTTGGGGCTCAGAACTAACCTCTAGCCCCTCTTTGCACCTTAACCTGTGACACGGCGCCAAAGCGTCCAGTTTTCAGCTCACTGTAATGAAAATACGGCATTCACTTAAACAATGCAGGGCTAATACGGATTTTAAAATATAGAAATGCCAGCTCCACTCTAAAACAAGCAAACACAGGTCTTTACTATGCTCAAATGATAAGTTCAGAATGTTTTATTGTTGTTATTATTTTTATCATTTGAAATCCTGAAATCAGGGAATGCAGGCTGCAGCCCCCACTTCCCACATCCCTACTTTGTTTGATTTGCAAATGTTCCTTTTTTCATCTATTTGCTGTTCTCAGTAGTGGCTTCTTGACAGCTACACATCTGTTTGAACTGTCTTCTCACAGTGGAAGAATGGGAAGAAACCTGTTTTTTTCAGATTTAAAGTAAAAGTGGAGCTTGATTTTTATCCTCTCTCTTAAAGATGAAAGCTTTAAGTACTGTTTATCTGATGGTGACTGTTTTGAAGATTATTCAAAGAGTCCAATTCCTCGATTTAAAAAAAACGGACCTATATAGCTCCAAAAGGGTTCTGCTATTGTCACAATAGCAAAGCCCCTTTTGGTGCTATATAGAACCAATTTTAAAATAGTTCTGTATAGAACCATATACAACACATTCTCCATCATTTCACCATTCAAAAAACCAATTAATCATGCAAATTACTCTTTGAGTGTTCATGGTTCCATATAGAACCACTGTCTTTACAAAAGAACCTTTTACACCAAGCAGTCGGTTCCAGTCATACAAGATCAGGTTCCTATCTACTTGACTGAGTAAAAACCTGTAAACCCAAAAATGAAAGCTAACATTTCAGAAATATGTTTGAAATCATGGGTAAAATCTAACACAAACTGTATTAATCATTTGTGGCTTTTGGCTCAAACACAAAAAAATTATCTTTCAGGTTGTTGTAGCTAGTAGACGTCCCTGTCTCCACAACTTGGGACGTCTTCCTGCCAATACCAACAAGGCGACTGTCTCTCTTATATTGAATTGTGGTCCTTCTCACAATACAAAAGCCATGCTGACCAATCTATCGCCTTCATTTTTCAGCCAGTCAACTGCCTCCTCCTCTGATAAAGATAAGACATCACGGATTGGTGCCCAACAGGGGACGAGGTATTGACCTATGTCCATTCATAGCATAAAAAGAGTCACATTTTGAGTTGAGGGCAGATGTTTTGGGGCTTCTGCAAGAACATGCTTTCATACTGAAACCCAAACTCTGAGAGACTAATGGGACCCAGGACTCTGCAAGCTGTTTGTATTTTTCAAGTAGATAAGGAGGGAACACAGCAAGTGTGTAGAAAGAAGAGAGAATCTTCACACCACACACTTGAGACTTTTCAGACAAACAGGATGAGCCAGCGTCATTCCTTGCTGCCACATTTTGGATTATTTTTGCTGTATTACTATTTTTCATCATTCAATTTCCCAATTTTTGCAATAGAGAATATAATAACTATCTATCATAACCCAGTAGAGGCAACTGTACCATAATTAGAATGGCACACATAAATAGGACCATTTTCTGAACTGCAAAGAACCATTTGAGGATCTTTGAGGTGTGATGGTTCTATATATAAACATTGTCTTTACAAAAGAACCCTTGAAAATCATCTTTTTTAAGCATATATTTTAGTCTGCGTTATCATTCATTTTAAGTCATTTTTTATTTTTGGCCCAATCAAGATTTCTTACAGCGGATGTAATAGGTTCCTAAAACAAAGCCGAGGCATCACACTTGACCCACTAAGCCCATCATTGTGGCAGAGTGTCTTGTCATTTGCATTGAGCCACGTCCGTTCCCTTGGGCTCAGAGGAATGTGAATGAAGGCTGTGCTACTACAGTGACACATATGAACTCGAAATCTTACCTCCAGGCAAAGCAAACTTTCAAACCAAACCAGAACAGCCCACTGGGAATAGCTTCTCTAGCAGCAAGTCTCTACTATTTCACTCTCCACCCACCACCCTCAGCTCCATTCATACATCATCCTCCATACAAATCAGCAGCATTCTCCCAGCCACTGCACTGATAGCGCAAATTAACAAATGTTCTGTCATTACTTCAAGATACTTATCTTTTTTGCAGGAGATAAAACAGCAGTGCAAGGCTGCACAAAGCCATTATCTGTATCATTTGAAGAGATAACGCTATATTTCCATGCGCAAACCACAGCTTCTTTTTATCAGTCTTTCCTCTTCCAATGTCATATAAAAGAACATGGTTTAACAGATTCCAAAGCAGTGGTGCTTGGAAAGATTGGTAGGGCGTACTTCTAGCAGGGTTGTGTGCTTGTGCGTACGGGGTCGCATGTGCGGTGAAGTCAGACAGGGGAGAAAAACAGCTTTTGGCCTGAGGCGATCTTGCCGATGGTGCGATGTTTGTGACAGCCGGGTCCAGAGGTGAGCTATCCCCTCTGATCTCCAGGCTCCCCTGTGGAGATCTGGGGAAAGCGGGTGCATTGGTTTGCTCTGGGAGCCTGTGCTCTGTTTTTGTGCACCCTGTCTGTAGATACGGTATGGAAAAATGAAGAACTGCATGGATATCTTGAGAGAACCAAACACGTGTATATATTGCATTTAGATATATAGATTTTTACATATAGCGAATTATGCAACAAATTACATTTACATCTGATTTGCATTCTGTTTCGACAGTTTGTGCTTCCAAATTTTCCAGGTTGTTTCAATGTCAAAAAATGACAAGTGTGGCAAAAATATAAAGCATGTTTTTCTTTCAGCAAATGGTGACTGTATACAACAACTTTTCATCAAAATCATATCATAATAAAACATTTCATCAGATGAAATTTTAGAAACCGCATGTTTCAGTGAGCTGTGAGTCAGGAATGAATATCAAATTGCATCATGCTTTTGTTATCATTTGTGGTATCTATGACTTTTAAGTAGGAATGCATGGATCTGGGAATTGTGGGCAGATGCAGAGGTCTGATATTTTCCATGTACTTATTTGCTGAAGCTGATAAAT